AGAACCTCCTACAGTCTCTGTTGTCCCTACGGGCTTATTCAAGAACAGTTTAGCCTCCTGTCCTGACAGGGGCCCATCTTCCCCACCCAGGAGGTGTTTCTGTAGTGGTGGGTTAGGGGGAACCCGGGCCTGCCCTCTACTCACAGTGTATATGTGCATAGTTAAAGAGTGGATTGGGTGTGTTTGATCAAAAGCACTTTTAACTGTTGAGCAGGTGTGAAGCACTTTAGCTGGATCTAATTGCTGGAAGGTTTTTAAAGTCCAACAATCTCACAAAAACATTTAGACCAATGTTTTCAAGAGCAGCCAGTAAACTCAGACTTCCCCAATTTAAATTAAAGGGCTGTACAATTTAATCCTGGAATTTTTTATGAACTAAAGAACTTTACAAGTTGTCATTGTTTATGTATTTATTTATGATATTGGAGCACATAGAAGCTGCAACCAAGATCAGAGCCTCATTGTATTAAACAGTGTACAAACAGGGGCCCTTATCTTATAAAGACTTAACGCGTGCGCCTATCTTACAATGTGTAAAGTGAAGCATATAAATAAAGATTTGCAGGATCAGGGCCATAAAGTAAGAGAGAGTCCCTTCCCCCAAAGAACTCACAATCTAAATAGACAGGGCAGACATGGAGTGGGACAAAGAATATAATATGCAAGCAAAGTGAACAGAGTCATAGTTTACAAATGTCATGTTAGTTCCACAATTATTTTTTTTTTATTAATTTTTGGATGGGTTTTCTTTTCTATCTATATTCAATGAAGGCAGGAAGAGGTTTACTAAAAGGAAAAATAAGGGAAGGGAGAGGAGAGGGGGCATGGAAGACAGCTTGAGTGAGACGGAAGTGAAGAGACTTGAGGGAGATGGAGAGGGATGCCAGAGGTTAGAGCCAGAGCCAATCAGTAGACGAAAGAACATGTCTAATGTAGAAAGCATATTCTCATGACATCATCAATGTCCCATGGTGCCTGCTGCTGAAACTGCTTTTGTAGCTGCTCCAGCTGGCTTGAGTTGCTGTGCCCTGGAGTTTCTCTTTGCCCTGAGCCTACATGGGTAGGGGCTGGATAGGGCCTAGTGTCCCTAGAAGGGAGTTTCCCTTGCACAGTTCTCAGTTCGGCATCGTCACCTTGCCACATCCACATACTCTGATGCTGCTGAAAATGCTACTGGTAGCTTAGCAGTTTATTCTCTTGAATCATTGAGAACTGACTGGCATTGTTGGTGAAGAGAGGATGGTTGTCAGACTGCCACTCCTATCAACACCTATGAGAACTGTTTTCTAAATGGATACTCACAAAGAGGGAGAAAGGGATGAAGTGCACAGAACCAGAGTTCAGATATTTGATCCTGCTTTCCTTTCTCTTTTTCTGATTTTTTCCCATTATGGAGATGGATCTGGAAGCAGCATCCATAACATCGAAGGATGCTTGAAGCGTGGTTCTAGGCTGGCCCACTGAGATGATGGACTGGAATTGCTCCCTATGTAATATATGCATATATAATTTATATTTGGCCAGGACTGCCTGATAGTTCACAATCCTGAATTGCAGGGTTGCTGAAGAGTAGAACTTCCACCCAAAGCGATCCAGTCTCTTTTAGTCTCTGTCATATGGGGTAGACTTGGAAAAGTGTTGTCTACCCTGCTCATTTACCACACCCACCACCAGTGAGTTAGGAGGAGGGTGTGAGAACAAAGAATCAGAATCCTTAGGGGGAACATAATACTTCTTAGCCACTCATTTACATGTTGGTAGAATGGCAGCAGGTGTTTGCTTTTCAGTCTTAGCTTGATCCAGGAGTTTCTCATTAATGGGTAACACTGCCCTGGAGGTTGTTGCTGACTGCAGGATATCCAACAGTTTGTGCTGTAAGTCTGGAACCTCCTTGAGTGGAATTTGAAGAGTGTCAGCTACGCTATAGAGGTGTTGAAATTGCCAAAAATCATTGGTCATGGAAGGTGGTGGAGGCATAACTGCCTCCTCTGGAGACGAGGATGAAATAGGTGTTTGAAGGGTGGCCTCTTTATCTGCCCTGGCCTCCTGCTCCTCAAATGCTTTCTTCAATGAGAAGGCTGTTTGTGGAGGAAAGGACCATATGACTCTGGCCTCCCTATGTAATGGTACCAGTGGTTTGGTGAATTGCTCCTGGTTGTAATGGACTGGGTCATAGGCAGTCTGGCCTACTGTTCATGATTGGGCTGAAGTCTGCCCATCAGGGGGTGGTTGTCACTGTGCAGGGGCTGGAGGGATCGCAAGATCCAGGTTCTGTAAGCAAGAGTCAGGGTCAGGCTGGGGTCAAAGACCAGAGATCAGAGGCAGTACCAGGTTAGAACTAAGAGTCAGGAATCAGGGTCAGAGTCAGGCTGGAGTCAGAGGTTGGAGATCAGGAGATCAAGCAGGGTCTGGCATTGCAGCAGGCTGAAGTCTGTGAGATTGTCCAGATGACTTCCTGGGACAACTCCTGGGGTTATATAGAGAGCTTGGAAATGAGAGGGCTGCAGGATACCATCGCTCTGGGTCTCTTGGGCTGCATTTCCTGCCACACCTACCATAGTGCTCCCTATCTGTGCCTCTGCATGGCCTCCCGGTGGCAGTGTGGGACTACCAGTCATCCCAGGCTCCGTAGATCTTGGTTCTAGTCCTGGGTTTCTTACAGTCATCCCAGTATGTCAATTGAGGGGGAGTGGCAGGCTGGGCTGGTTCCATCATCCTTGATGACAAGTGTGATCTTCCCTGTGACTGAACAGATATGCTGGAGAACTCTGAACAGAAATATAAGAGACCAACGGGAAGTCTCCTTCATCCTCCTTAATATCATCTAATGGAGGAGTACCCATAGAAAAGGATGGAGAGTCCTGTTCTACCAGAAGATGGAGGTCTGACAATGGGGACCCATGGTACTGACAGACACATGGTACCCATAAGAAGCGAGGACTCCAGTTTTGTCCATTACAGACAGGTCCATAGGTTATTAGAACTATTGCACCAGAAGTGGAGCAGCCATAGGGCAGTACTCAAAGAACACGTATTTCTGTTTTCAGTCTCTTTTCACAAGTAAAAGAATGAAGGAGAGCAGCTTGAAAACAATCATATGAAAAATTTTACTTTTCAGAGAAAAATTGAAGCAAAACATTTTTGTCTGAAAACTTGTAGTTTGAAACTGAAAATTTAAATTTGGAAATGCCACCATGGTGCCTCTTGGAGTCTTAATTCTGGGTGCCTCATTCCCTCATTCTCCTCAATGGGCCAGGCTCCACGGCGGGTCTACATCTCCCATGAGTCACCACAATTTCCCGAGAATTAAGTTTCTAACCTCAAAATATGCTGTGTTCTAAGTGTACTCGAAATAAAATATGGACAATCTACACAATGGTTGCCATGGGCAATATATATCATATAGAGTTTGAGGCCAAATTGTTTACAAATGACAGGTTGATTTTGAGTGTCTGAACTTGGGCAACCAAATTTGGGATACCCCAAATCAGTGGCTGCTTTGACAAATTGGGCCTGAATGACTTGTGGGTTCTCAAATTGACGTACTGTGTGACTTGGACAAGCCATGTCATGTCCCTGTGACCACCTGTAAAACACGGGTCGTGATACCTCCCAATCCCTAGGCGCTGGAACTTGGGGTGCTGTTAGAGGTGCTGGCCAGAAGTGGTTTCCATTATATACAGGATTTACAGTTTGGTTCGATGGCTCTCAGCACCCCCACTATAACCATTGTTCCAGCCCCCCTGGGGCAAGCCGGGGGTTTCAGTCAGTAATGTTCGTAAAGCCCTTGGAATCCCTTTGATGGGAAGACAAAGTATGGTATACTGCATTATAGAGTGGTCAGATTCACTTTTGTTTTCTGTAACTTTCACTTCCTGTTTTCACTTCATGTGTTCAAGTTTCATCTTTCAGTGATTCTTGTTAATCTTTCTGTCCACTTGGAATCCTATGGGGTGGGCGGTGGGGGGGGAGACGCAAGACAGATATTAATCATGTTGCTAATGCACTGCTGAAAGGTGCTCTGGGACCATGGTGATGTGGGCAGTGTACTGAACAGAAGAGAAAAGCCCTTAATTCAGGGGACTGTGAATGTAGGGCTGGTTGTTCTTCAAAGAACACTGAGATATGTCTTTCTAAATATAACATATGTTTTCATCACAACCTGATGCAATTTTCACACTAATTAATTATGCAAAAGATTTTATCCTTGGTAATCTTGCTGGAAAGTTTTTTGGTACTAGAGACAAGCCGTTTTTGACACTGCTCACAAACTGTCACTTATACAGAAATTGTATAAAACAGCCATTCATAGCATTTCATTCCTTTCAGAAGAATAGAAGCCAGTGTTTGCTTCATTCAATACAATACGCAGTTGCCATGGAGACACAGAAGGAACCGAAGGAGTTTCCCAGAATGTACCAGGCTTGTCACAGCATATCGGCCTTTTATTTTCTGTTCCAAGTTAGAGTTAGGGGCTAAATTCATTAACTAATAGATGTTGGATGTTTATGAAATGCACTTTAACCTTCAAAATGTTCTTGCACATGACGATTTTCCAGTATAGAAAGCTGGAAGTTAATTGCCAGCAAAAAAAAAAAAAAAGTGTAATAGTTTGAAATCAGATAAATAAGGAAGAAGAATGTTATTTGTTTGTAGGAATTTGAAAAACATCCTCTCCCTGTGCTATCCTTTCTTGCCTTTTCCTATTTTGGCTAATGTGTCATTCAGCTCCACTCTGAACATACAAGCCTGTAAATGAAACCCAGTGCACATGATTGTCATGAAATGTATGAATTTCTTCAAATAGAGCTTCAGTCTCACAGATTTGGGATTTCTAGGTCAGAACCAAGCTCAGTAGAGTCAAAATGATAGAGGGTCTAATATCCTGCTAAATTTCACAAGTCCTTCTGCACCCAAATGGCCTTACCACTGAGAGAGCCTAAAATGATACCCTAAAATGGCATTCTGACATAATATGTATGGCAAACCCAGGAACTTACTGTTTGTCAGCATCTGCAGATCTTCGACAGAGGGAGGTGACCCTTTCTTCTCATATGGAATAACCGTGTTCAAATACTAGAAAGGAATGACATGTACCATTATTCTCTCGCCATTGCAGGGCAAGCTAATGTGATGGAAGTATGAAACCAAATTGCTTACAGAATCATGTGAGATATGAAAGAAAAGAAATCACACAAAAAACTCTACTAAGTAAAGAGGCTAATGCTCTAGAAAATAATCTTCAATTCAATATTATTATATATTGGTATGACAAACTATGCAATTGGTGCCAAAGAATGACAAGGACAGAACTCCTCGGGATATGCCAGAGGCAGGCAAGGGCTAAATTCTGCCCACCATTTTGGAGGAAACACAAGGCCTCTTGAGGGTCCTGCAGAAAAGTTCTGACTCTACCCAGCCCCTTACTAAAGCTGGGTGAAATATCCTGGCCAAAGTTTTTGGTTTTGGTTGTTTTCCCCCTCCCCGAAAAATGCAGATTTGGATTGGCTGAAACATTCTGAAAATTCATGTTTGTCAAATTGTTTCTGTCAACACCCCCCCCCCGCCTGAAAATGTCAAAATATTTCATTTAGACCTTTTTGACACAAGACATTTCAATTTTTCAATTCAAAACTTTTCATTTCAAAATTACTTGCAATTTCATTTAAAAGCAATAAAAATGTTTTAAACTAGTCAAAATCAACTCAGAATGTTTCATTGCAGAGTAAACAAAACTTACAAAATGATTTGCTGAAAATTCAGAAAAATTGCATTTTTTGGTCAACCTGAACATTTCTTCTTCTTCTTCTTCTTCTTCTTCTTATTTCAACACTGCCAGTGAGCTGAAAAAACAATTATTCCCACAGTTCTACCCACTACTGTGGGTTTTAGTCACAGTTAAGTTTCAAGCTCCTGCTGGGATAGGGCTTTTTTGTGTATGTGTGTGGTTTTATCCCATGACCATTGGCCATTGTCTGGTCCAACTGGTTGGCTAGTCAATATAAGCTGAAGCTATCTGGGTTGCATCTTTCCTTTCCCCCTGGATTCCGCAGTTTTCCTGGTCAATTTTTAATGGAAAGGTCTTTATTTACTTCTGAACATCTAAAGAAACATTTTGCTTAGGAAAAAGAAAAGGAGTACTTGTGGCACCTTAGAGACTAACCAATTTATTTGAGCATAAGCTTTCGTGAGCTACAGCTCACTTCATCTGCATCTTAGGGCTTTTCTACACAGGGACATCCAGGTAAATTAATCCAAATTAACTAAAGGTGTGAATTTGAAGTGGATTAGTTAAATGTCACTAAATCCCATATAGATGCTATTATTCAGAATTAAAGTGGCTTCAATTTGGATTAACTTTCCTGGATGCCCCCATGTAGACAAACTGTTACTTGCATTTATGTTTTGGTGTTGCAGGAGATGGTGTCTCTTAGTTTCACCATCTCCACTCTCACGCTGATTGCACAGTTCTTCCTGACTCAGTTTTGTTACTGTAATTTGTTACTGTTATTTTCCACCTCAGGTTTATGGTCACTGATTCTGTATTTGTTCTGCCTTTATTTTGCACTCATACTAGTGGCTTAGGTTGAGAGAATCACTGAATTTGGGGTAGGGTTAGTTTGTTTCACAGGTCAGACAGAGTTGTGGGCACATGGAAATGATCTTACATACAAATGGATTATTTATTTCTTTGAATTCAGTTTTTAATCCTCTAGTGTGGGGGCTGTCAATTTTTTTCATGGTGTGAGCTATTTCTTGACAGAAATTGAAAACTCCTCTCACATTCACAAATGCAGTGACCCACCCCATTATGTAACATCTCTGTGAAGGCTACAGTAACTATTTATATGGGAAAGTAATATGAAGAAGGTATGCAGGGCATGTTTAGCTTTCTTCTAATGCAATCTGCGCCCTAGGAAGTCAATAGATAATAGCGTCTCCTGACTATGGTAGTGCAGAATCAAGCCCTATGTGACTATTCACCTCTCTCCAGACCACTGCTGGTCCACAGAGCAAAGCTTATAAACTATAGCTTTTTTGTTTTCGGGTGAATGGAGCATTTGTTGTTGTGGTTGTTTTTTCTCTCTATAACTCTGGGTGTGTAAAGGGCTCTTTGTACGGTACTGTCACTGTTAGGGCTTATCCAAAGCTCACTGAAGCCAGTGGGAGTCTTTCCTTCAACTTAGGTCTGGTCCACACTTAAAAAGTTAGGTTGACATAGTTACAGTGCTCAGAGATGTGAAAATTCACCTCCGCAAGAACTGTAGCTATACCAGTCTAACTCCCAGTGTAGACACTGTTATACTGAGGAAAAAAAAACCCTTTTGTCTCTGTAGGAAGCGTCTATATTACAGGTCCACTGTTAAAGTGCCCACAATGTAGACATAGCTCAGTGAGCTCTGGATCAGACCCCGATGCAGTGCATCTGGGGCAGATAGTGCAGAGTTCTATTGAAACTTGAAGGACAATCTTGTCAGCCTCAGTTGGGTACTTCCAAAAAAACCCAGGAACAGCTTAGTGCAGCAATAACCCATGCCATGGCATGCCGTAAATAGCAGGCTACTTGTGCACTGATTACAGACCTTTTGGCTTTGTGCCTAGAATCACCAAAACCTGCTAATGCACATTCTCTATAATTACAGTGGCTTCTTAAACTACATTTAAAATACTTTTAAAAACTGAGTCAGAGTCATGGGAAGATTTTTATTTCCCCCGACTAGTTAAAATAGGCCATAGCATAAAGAAAATGTTTACCAAGTGGGGAAAGGAGTAGGAACACCATTTCTCTACAATTTTGACCAAGTTCCCTACAAAAAAAAACACCATTAAGAGAATTTCACAGTGGCACAATTAAGGATTTAAGAATCAAGCAGCATCAAAATTAAGGTTACATACATAAGCTTAACTCTGCCCCCTTGTGCATATGTATTACAATACAGCCTGTAATTGCAGGATTATATATTATATTGCAAGTAGCACAATATATTATATTTTTCTATAACATTACATATACAGATGTGTATTTAGACTTTTAATATACATTTTTCTTATCTCTAGGGCACTTATTCTAATAATTTTGGTAGTGGACCATGTTTTGTACATTTCCTCAAGCACGGCCTTCCATAGCTTGAATTCAGGGGACAAGGCAACTAATTATGCAACTAATTTTGTTGCATATTTACATGAGCTATATATGCTAGCAAATTTTCACTATCACTTTATGTTGTGGATTCTACAAATGCTATTCATGCACACCTAGTTATAGAAAAAATCCAGAAAAGTAGCTAGCAAAACCATAGTTAAGATTACAGGTGTTTCCATTCTACCCCTTGTTTTTCAGTTGCTCATAACTTCCCAAACTTTTTGGGCTGAAGTTTTCCAGTCCTGAAGCATGATTTTTCATTGACGTTGTGTGCACATGGGCAAGGCAACTGTATAATGGGTATAAATATTTTAGTTCTCATCAACTTAGCACTCATTTTGCATCGCGGAATTGGGCCACTTTTCTTTGCTCAAAGGTGAACGTACAGGGAAAGTTTGATGGAGAATGGTCAGCCATTTTGGGAAATGAAAGATTAGAAAAAATATTTTCTGATTATATAATTTTTTGCCACATTTTTGATAGCTTTAGCATCAAAAAAGATGAGATAATGGTGACGTCTAGGTAAATTGTTTGAACAAAATAGGGTGTAAAATGGGACTTATGTGGCGCATAGACCTTGTGTTGACCCTTTGCACAGGGGTGAATTTCACCCTTTATGAGTGGTTCTGGGAAATAGAAACCTGTCAAGAAAGACTATATCACAATGCAGAGTTAGCAGTCTTAATGTTCTTTAATATGGTTTTGGAATATAATATGGTTTTATATGGAATATAAAATAGTGTATTATTTGAGAAACTGTGTGATAATCAAATTAGTTATGGATGTGAACATATTACGTATCATAAATCATATGCATAAGAGACCAGGTTATGGTTGTGTGTATAGTCTTAGCTTTTGCATTTCCTGACCTTTGAGTGATTAACCAGCTTCTTATAAAAATCTTATAACACAGAATTTTTTCTATCAGATTTCATTTTTTTATTCCCCAAAGAAAAAAAGATGATAGAAAAGAAAAACAAAGGAGGGGGAGGAGAAAAGAGAGGCTGAGGTGTCCCACTCAAAAATTTCAAAGCTCCTCTGGGATGCCAAAAATTGAAAATAACGTATGTCAAATTCGGAATTTGAACTCCTCTGGAACACCCTTTCTTACACATGCTAGGACCCTACTGGAATGCCCTGTCCCACACATGCTAGAATCCCACTCGAAGGCTGAGTACCACACACGCTAGGGACCTACTGGAACACCCTATCCCATACATGCTATTGTCCCATTGAAACACCCTTTGTCACACATGCTAGGACGGAAGGACTCAATAGAACACCCCACTGCAAACACACTTGAGTCCCAGTGGAATGCCCTGTCCCACTAACACTAAGGGGAGAGGCTGCAAAGCCCTGTCCCATGCATGCTAGGACCCCACTGGAATGTTTTATCCCATACACACTAATTCCCACTGGAATGCCCTGTCACACAGAGGCTAGATTCCACTGGACTGTCATGTGACATGTTAGACCCCACTGCAAGGCCCAGACCCACACACACTAGGGACCCATTGGAATGCCTGTCCCACACAGGCTTCAGGTTCCACTAAAACCCCCAGGCCCATATGCACTCGGCCCCCACTGGGAATGCCCTGTTGCACATACGCTAGAACCCCACAGGAAGGCCCAGGCCCATACATGCGAGGAACTCACTGGAACACCATAGAATCATAGAATATCAGGGTTGGAAGAGACCTCAGGAGGTCAACTAGTCCAACCCCCTGCTCAAACCAGGACCAACCCCAACTAAATCATCCCAGTCAGGGCTTTGTCAAGCTGGGCCTTAAAAACCTCTATGGATGGAGGTTTCACCACCTCCCTAGGTAACCCACTCCAGTGCTTCACCTCCCTCCTAGTGAAATAGTTGTTTCCTAACATCCAACCTAGACCTCCCCCACTGCAACTTGAGACCACTGTTCCTTGTTCTGTC